CCCACGCAGGCATCGTTTACCCTGAGAAACATGGAAAAGGAATGTATGTGTGTGTTGGGGAGGAGGTAGTGAGACATCTGGTGAGTAGATGTCAAAGAAACCCAGGTGTCATGTGCTTTAATTCTTTTTTTCTAAATTTTTGTTAATGTTTACTTATTTTTTGAGAGAGAGAGAGAGAGAGAGAGAGAGAGGGAGCGTGAGCAGGGGAGGGGCAGAGAGAGAGGGAGACACAGAATCCGAAGCAGGCTCCAGGCTCCAAGCTGTCAGGGCCTGATGCGGGGCTCGAACTCGTGAACCACAAGATCATGACCTGAGCCGAAGTTGGATGCTCAACCGACTGAGCCACCCAGGTGCCCCTTTGTTCTTCTTTTTAAAGAAAATCTCTCCTCCCGATTAGAGATGTTGCAAATATCGGCAATTCTGTTGAAGATGAAGCATTAGATACCCAGGTACGCCTTAGGACGGGCACCAGATGTCTTTGGCACAGGGAAGCATGCCCAGGTAAAACGCAAATCCAGTTTTCTTCTGCAGCCCGAAGGCTTCCCTGACGTTGTACCCAGCCACCTGCAGACATGTCATTATTCTGACATTTCTCAGTCAGCCAGCGTGATGGCTTTTAAGTGAACTGAACGTTCATTAACAGCTAGATTTATATTGATTTTGTCCTTCTGCTTTGCAGCTGCCAGATTAATACAGCATGCCAGAAATTACATTAGCAACAGAATTAATTTTGAATTTTTGTGTTTCGAGAAAACTCAGGCATGCCTGAGTCCCATTCAGACTGTCGCCCCCATTTTTTCCTTACTGAACTGTCACTCCATGTATGGAGTAGGAGGGCAGTGACAGGCGGGGACCGGGGATGTGCACCAGCCAGTGAGGATTTGGGGTGGCAGGTGGGGGGCCACAATGGGCACATGGCTTCTCTTCTGTCACACAAGGGAGTCACACTCGGATCAGGTCCTGTTACTACTGAAAATACAGTAGTTATTTGCATGTCAGAGAATTACGTTCAGGATCACCACGAGGAAGGCCGTCATTTTTGTCCTCTGGATCTCATACTCGAAGTCCGTTAGAAGCGTCTGCATGAGGACAGGGCATGTGGCCTGATGGGCTCATAGACCTTAGGGGGAGTAAGTTGTCTTCTTTGATCTTCAGTTTCCCAAAATGGCAGACTGAGGCCCAGGAGAGTCAGGGGGGCTGCCCAGGGCTTGGGAGTGAGGAAGTCAGGGCCTCTCTCCTGCCGAGGAACCTGTGGGACCCAGAGGAGCAGAGGGGAGAGGTCCAGAAAAGGGGGGCGGGGCTGCAAAGCCAGAGCAGGGTTTTCCAAAGTGTGCAAGAGCCGGGATTAGCCACAGGAGCCGTCAGAAGGGCCAGGCCTACAGCAGCGATCTGAGGGCTAGTAAGACTGGGCTGCAAGCTTGGTGGGAGAGGCCCAGACAGCAGTGCCTTGGAGGGCACACTGCCGGCCGATGTCGGATGCAGGGGTGGGTGCAGGCAGATGTGACAGCCCAGCCTGTCATCCCCAACCTGCACCTTCCAGAAACGCCAGGCTTCCGTCCTCACCTCTCGCACTTTGTCATTTTATAGCAGGAAACACAGGACATAGTCCTTGCCTAAAGTCTCACACAGGCAGTGAGTTCTTTCCTGGAGCATTCGATGCCCTCCTAGGTCTGGATAACATAACCCCTGAACACGCTGTTATGTCTTCTCCAAAGCAGAGGGGCCACTTATCTTCAGAGATAGATGCTGTCGTGTCTAATAGTGCTGTACCCCTTTTGTTCTGTATTTTAGTGAGGGGTTGCTTAAGAGACATAGTTTATGTTTTACAATAGGGAGATCTCTTTTCAAAATCTGAAATAGCGAGATCAATGAGAAAATAGAAACAAATGAGGCATTCATGTGGTTGCTTCTAAAAGCAAGGCTGGGTATATTCTTCTATTTTTAATTAAACATTTTTTTTTTTAATGTTTATTTTTGAGAGAGAGGAGGGGGAGATTTTGAGTGGGGGATGGGCAGAGAGAGGGAGAAACAGAATTGAAGCAGGTTCCAGGCTGTAAGCTGTCAGCACAGAGACTGACCCAAGGCTCAAACTCACGAACTGCGAGATCATGTCCTGAGTCGAAGTCAGATGCTCAACCGACTGAGCCCCCCAGGCTCCCCAAACTGCGTGTATTCTATGTGGACTGCATTGTATATGGAGTTGGCCCTTGAATGATGAGGGGTGGACATCCACTCCTCATGCTGTCGAAAATCCACATATAATTATTGATTTCCCCTCAAAATTAACTACTTATAGCCTACCTTTGACCAATAGCTTTAACATAAAAGGTCAATTAACATGTGTTTTGTATGTTCTGTGTATCATACACTGTATTCTTTTTACAGTGTATTTATTTAAGTACTCTCTACGTCCAGCGTCCAGCATGGGGCTTGACCTCACAACCCTGAGATCAAGAGTCCCACGATCTACTGATTGAGCCAGACAGGCAGCCCCTTATACGTTGTATTCTTGCAGTAAACTAAGCTAAGAGAGAAGAAAATGTTATTAAGAAAATGCTAAGGAAGAGAAAATACATTTGTAGTGCTGTCCTGTAAAAAATGCGTGTGCAAGTGGATGGACCCGTGCAGTTCAAACCGCTGTTGCTTAAGGGTCAACCATAGTTCAAAGCAGCTTTTTAAAAAACTGCTTTTGACAAACAACGTCATAATGTAAGAAGTAGGACCAAATTTTTTGCTGAACTGAAGAAAATAGAAAAGATTTTGCTACTCCTGACAATGTATTTTATTTTGCATAATGAGCAAGGTGACCATATTTACCAGACATCTACTAGGCGCAAAGGCGTGTGCTGGGGGCCGGCAGTGACCTGAGACAAGACATTCAAAGGTCCTGCTAGGTTCTGTGCAGCGTGTGCAGGCGGGGGCGTGCCTGAGGCGGGGGCGTGCCTGAGGCGGGGACGTGCGGAAGCAGGGACTTGCCGGAAACTAGACCTGCAGGAACTAGGGACGTGCGCGAACAGGGACGTGCACGGAGCGGGAC